AAAAAGGTTCTGTAAGAGATGGTTCTGCACTTGGGTAAAACGCAGAACCTTCAAAAGGTTCTGTCAAAATTTTTATCCTTTTTTTGAGACTTTGAACACATTTGGAGCATTTTGAAAATCTCCAGAACCTTTTCGGAGGGTTCTGTAAACCTCCTTTATTTTTTTCAGAGCAGGTGTGTGCGAGTTTTCTTCTCAACGATCCCACAATCATACTCACACCCTGTTTAACTCTTTCATGTTGAAGGAATGATTTGGGCGGCTAATGGAAGTTGCTGTTGATAGAAGCAAACAACTTGAATAGTAATATTGTTTTCAGTTTCACCATTACATTAACAAACACTTGAGTGTATAAAAGAAAATGCTTTTACGTACAGGCAAAGTTTGAGTTTCATAAAGGTGTGTTAAAAAATACGAGTGATGGATCCACTGGCTCCCAATACTCAACATCGATTTTTTTCAGTCGGTTCAACTTATGTAAGAGATTGATCATTGCAGTATCTATCAAAGTTAGAAATTATTTTTCAGGAGCAACTGACATCGAACACGAAAGCTGAGACCACCCATGGTAGAGAAACGAATAGCACTTTCCAACATATACCGTCGATAAAAGATCGGTAATAAATATTATGTGCGACTTTGTGGCAATGTAGAAAGCACTTCCCATTTGCCTATCTGTAGGACAGGATCATCATGTAACTGGCGGAAGACTATGGTCATTGTATGTATAATCTTTACCATCATCCTTGTAATTGCTGTGATCATCATTCCAATATATGTCGTTCGTCTTATCGCTTCAGGTTCGTAGTCTTTGTTATTCCTCGTGTATCAGATGTGAATGTTAGATTTCCTGACTATAGTCGATTGCTCTGTCTTTCTAAACGCAATATTCAAGACAAAGGACAGAACTCTTGAGTAGTGAAGGATTTATGGGGAAAAGAGTTAGTCAGTATTTTTTTGTTGCTCTGTCCTTTGACACTTCATGCCTGTAGAGCAACAAGAAAACAAAATATTTACTGTTTTGCAACGAGCGAACACGTTTTGTACGAAAGGCTTACGTATACTTTCCGAAATTTGATCGATCTTGCTTTCAAATCTCAAATGTCTGTAGTGGTTCGTTAAAAATGAATGGCTCAGTTATTTTAAAAAATAGCTTGTGAAAGTGTGGCTGGAGGAAGGAAGAGGAATTGAGTTGCTAAAATTCATTGCTGGTTTGAAAAATGGGTGAATCGAAGCTGATGATGAAGCGCTAATACTGTCGGAAAGCCGATTGTACAGAAACATGGCCAATGACTAGGCAGGCGGTTTGAATTGAAGAAGAGCAGCGGATTTTTGTTGAGAAGTTATCGCTGAAGTCAAAATTCGAGTACAAGATTTTGAAAAATGATCAAGAAAAATGTTTCTGTCAAATATTGGATGTGAAGGCTCGAAATGTTTGTGCTAACATGAACAAGTCAATAGTTAATTGGTGCTTAGGTATTCATTTTCACAATATTTTTTTAACAGAATGCCTTGGTCCCCCAAAATCACTAGGAAAACTGATTTGAGAAATTTGGCTTGAAACGTTGCACAGAAATAAGCCTTAACGAGAATATTTTGTTGTGACAATTTCAGATGTTTTGATTTGGATCTATGCTGAAACACGAACATCGAATATGCCTGCCTATTGTACCCAGGTCGAATGATACGGTCCTGTATACGGCCGTATGAGTGGAAGCATTAGCATAGCCTCATCATAATGAAGCTACAGTGTATATACGCCATATTATTGTTTCGAATACGAACTTGTATACGGTAGATGTCTGCGCTTCCGAAAACTACCCGTAACCGAACCGAGAGTCGGAGCCACGGTTCTGACTCTGGTTTCAAATCACTCGAACATATCGGCACCACTTCGGTCCCAAAAGTATTACATGAAACCGTGGAACCGTTTAGTTATCGGAATCTGGCTAAGACTTGCGATAGATGCAGTATTTTTCATGCTTTTGGATGCTACTGCATAAAAGACTCATCTTCCCATCTTAAAACCAGCTTAAGGTCGTCTGTGATATGCATTATGCATCATTTCTATTAAAATTGTCTGTTGAAAAAACTTGATATTAGCGTTCATATTATGAAAACGGTTCCTCGGCTTCTTGTTGATTCTTTCTACGGTTCCTGCTCCTGTTCCTGTTCGGTTCTCGGTTCCAGGTTTCGTGGAACGGCAGACTTCTAGTATACGGACAGTAACTTCATTATAATAAGATCCCATTACGGCGTCCACTCACACGGCCATCTACGGACCGTATTGTTCCACCTGAGAAGCGATGTAAAACACAGCTTTAATCATAACCGTATCTCAGAATAAGAACAACGAACAGATCAAAAAATTTTGCAATAAACTGTTCTCGTTGAGACCTATCTCTGTGTAAAGCTTGAAGTTAAAATTCGCAAATCAGTGTTTGTAGTGATCCTGAAGAAGGCCATGGCATTCTGTAAAAAAATATCATCAAAATGAACAGCTTAGCACCAATAAGCTATTGGGTTGAAACCGTTTCAGAGTATTCGCAGCTCATTCGAGTTGACATAATGCACCTAGTCTCGACTCAAAAGCGATTTATCAATCCTATGCCTTTCCTCGTCTGAACGGATCATATCTCTTTACGTGCCACTGATACATATATAATCTCGAATGGTTGAACATTGTGAAAATTTATTTTTATTTAGAAACCGCGACAGCATCCACGACTACCGGTAAAAATTTCTATCATTCATATATTAAGTAGAAAACATGTTTTATTTATAACAGCTATCTCCTTACCCAGTCAATGTTCTAACTACACACTCGACACAGATGCAACTCGCCTTACATCGTATAGTGCCACATCATCTGCTTGTGATAATAGTTTTTCTCCCGGAACAAGATATTGTTCAAAAATATACACGAGCGGAACTTTCTTCTTAGAAGTAGCAATATCTCAACCAATCTCTTGCATATGTGAATAATCACTTGGGTCCGTTTTTCGGGTGGAGGTGCAACGCAATTAGCTACAAGTCCTCCTTCAACTTATCGATGCGGAACGCTAGGCGTGGGTTGGTTGGCTAGCACTCTCCCATCGACGGTTGGTTCAACCTCGTTGGGGGTCGTCTGTTTTAATTGGTCAAACAACATTTGCAGCATGATAATCTATAATTCAGTTACTAACTGCAATGGGTTTTACGTCTATTTGCTTGTTAATTCAGGGTGTACTTATCGCTATTGCACCACTCAATAGAGTGGTCATTTCTTGTTCTCTCAAATTTCGCAAATCTAAATATAACCCCAAGCGCAGCGAAGTTTTTCGTTCATTCAACAAACCAATGCAGTTGCACAAAATTATCTGATTAATTTCAACAACATTGCGAAAATTTCCTATCTTAGTGGATTTGCATCAGAACTACTTTGACTTGTCTCTGCGCATAGACCACATACTTTGTTTTATCGAGGACTACTTCTTCATTTGTCTTGATTCCTGATTTGTGTTTCGAGAGTAAACGGCTTTTCGCTGAGGACTTTTATTCAAGAAAAAGACAAATAAGAAACGATTGAGTATTGTCATAGAAGTTATTAAAATAATTGACACTAGAGATGCTGGTGACTGATTTTTTTATTAGCCCAGCCGGTTAACCCGACCCGTTCGAGACCAATCAGGCCCGTTCAATAGGTTGAATGGTCTTGTGGAACTCACATATATTTTCGAAAAAAAATGGTGAGTGTAAGTTTAAAGCGAGATTTTTGCGGCTTCTCACCCCCTCCCCATTCATGAGATGCCTACTTCGAATTTGAATATAAATGGACACCCAACTGCATTGTATCAATTCGAAAATAAGTGATAGAATATATTTAATATAAGATGGAGTGGGTGTGGGTGAAGGATACCATGGAGGAATGCTCAAAGGTGGGTGCGGGTGAAGGGTATATATGTATTCATATGTCGCATATATCGGACAGTTAAACTAAAACTAAATATATTCCTATATTAGGTTTTAGTTTAACTTTTTCTTTTCTCCATTTATATTCGAACTCGAATTAGACAGCTACTCTCCCATTATAGATATTAATGAGTCCTAGATTGGATTAATTAGCAATTAACGTAATTAGGTTACCATCAGTGATGGGATCGGTTCGTGCTTTTTCGAACCGAACCGAACCGATTAAAAGATAAAAAAAAACGTTTGTCGATTTCTGCTGTTTTGTTTTTAAAGATATTCATTTATAACAATTTATTGAAGACGTGATTTTAATACTTTCAATTGTTCTAAGAATGACTTAGAAAGCTGAGCTACAGACAATTTTAAAAACATAAACATTTTCGCTTTTATGTTAGAAATATTTTTCAACCAGAAATGATTGCAGCGCATTTTTAGTGGATACTCAATTCTTTTTGTTAATTAAGAACGAATCACTACATTTTTGTTCGTCGTTCAGTGTAAAGAGTAGAATTTGTTTCAACTAGCAGGTTATTATTCATTGAAGGACGTTGTGTGAAAATGTCATATAAAGTAGGTTTTGAGAAATAATTTATATGTTACACTTTCCAGCCTTTGTTCTGTACTTTTCTTGTTTATCATTTCGGATTGACGAAACACTTGAAAATAGTAACCTAATGATGATGAGAAACGCATCTATTGAAAAGGAAAAAAATTGCCCTTCAAAATATAACGATTTTATCAAAAGTTTAAATTTTATTTCGTCTTTTACAGTTTGAGGAGTAATAACCACTATGACTGGCTAAACTTGAAAGGTCTGAAAATCTCAGTAAAATTATCCATTTTTAAATATTAGTTAGATATTCTTTTTCTCACTTTCTTGTTGTATGTTAAAGATTATTTTAAAGTTCAAAACAGAACGATGTTTAATTAGTGAATTAAAAACTAATACAAATTGATAATCAATTAATATTTGTTTATATATATATGAGTGCTTTTCTACTAAAACGTTGCCTGTAAACGTATATACTGAGAGATGAGCAAAACTATTACTCGTGCCTGAAGATTTATGAAGCAGTTGGTTAAATCATAAAAATGTGCTATACTGTCTTCAAGCTAAACTAACTCATCAATCATTTTACTTATTTTATTCAAAAAATATTGTGAAGCTTTCGATCTTGTTNTTGATAATGACCTTTTGAACGCAGTCGACAGCTTCACAATATTTTTGAATAAAATAAACAAAATGATTGATGAATTAGTTTACTCATTTATATTCCCTCATACGATATACGTAGATATACTTTGTTCATTCACTTTTAGTGATCAAGTTAAAAAATATATTAGAATATATATCTAAAAGAAATCGGTTCCGAACATTTGGAACCGAACCGAACCGATTTTTTAAAAATCTCGAACCGAACCGCTCCCATCACTGGTTACCATTCCTTCTTTTACATCAATAAGAGCTAAGGGAAGGCTACTATTGCAGTCCTTAGTAGCCGATCTACACCACCATCACAGACACTAGCAGAAGCAGAATACCCTTGCCTTTCGGCTACCATTCAGTATAGGGTGCTCTCCAAGGACAGTTTCATTAGCCCGATATTTTCCTACAACTATTACTAGCTGTAGCTATGGGGAAAAGCTTGGCGTCATTCAGAGTTCCTCTCGCTTAGTCGCGTAAGCTCCCCATACATACTGACTTACCATATACTAACCACACTGTAAGAAAAAGGTTTTCTACGAAATCAAAAAAAGATCTGAGCGCGGGCACACGATCAGATTTTTTTTTGGTTTCGTAGAAAAAAGGTTCCGTATGGCACTTCTTCTTGGTAGATGGAACAAATGGTTTCGTACACATGGTTCAGTACGAAGCCTTTACCAGAAAAAGCCACAAAGGTTTCGTACCACAGGTTCAGCACAAAACCTCCGCAATATTATGCTCGTAAGGTTTCGTAAACGTGGTTTTGCATAAAACCTTCCAAATCATATTCTGCTGATGAGAGAGCCCGTGGAAGTGATGCATGGTTTTCGAGTTGAGCTGCTGTACATATGGTCGATTTTAGTGAGATAAGGAAAGCCCCTGAAGGATGCTTTTCGTTAGTTCTTCCTTTAAAGATTATCCTTATGTTATCAGAATTTCAGTGAAATGTTAAGGAGGAAAACTTTGTAGCTGTCGAATTGGTTTTAAGTTTGAGCCCAGTTTTTTTAGATAGGTCTTAGCCAAATATAAAAAGCTCCAAGTGAACGATGCTCATGT